ACACGTTGCTGTTATTTTCGATCGGGCTCGGTGAAGTTCAGGTCCGAGCGCGCCGGGCCTGTTGTGCCCTGAGGGGCTCTGCCGGGGCGCTGGCTCAGGCTGTCCTGCCAGCCCGGTCTCTTTTCTTACTCTCGCAATGTGGTGCTTCCCTTTTGAGGAAAGTAAAAGCTATAGAAGTTCTGCATCGGCCTTATGGTTCACAGCGTGAGCCGCGCAGTCTCTAGCGATGCTCCTCAGCTCTCCGTGGGGGACGCTGTGAATTTTGCCTTTCATGGGAGGCTTGTCCTCTCGGTTCTGTGTGCTATCTGCAGGGGGACCCAGGACGCGCTTTCCATTTCTACATGTCTCCTCTGGTTGGTTCGCCATCTGTCCTTCACATCACGCCTGGGATTGCTTTTTTAGAGGCAGAAATAATTTGTGATTCTTATTATGTCCAGAGTTGTAATTGTAAGCAAAGGACAAATCAAGCCAGTGCGATGGGACCAAGCAAGCCAACCATGTCTGATGCTACATTTGCATTTGCTACCCAGCCAGCAAAGACTTCGCAAACACAGGTATTGCTTGATTTCTGCAGCGATGCAGAATCCTAGAGGTACATCACATGTGTAAAGTGTTTTGTGTAACATCAGCTTTTTTTTTTTTTTTAATGCATTGGAACAGCTGCAGTTTAATAGAAATGTTCCTGCAGTTCCAGAGAACTTGGCTCTCAGATTCTCTAACCCTTGTCCAATTGTAATAGAAAAACTGAAGGCATCCAATAATCAGAGAAATCTAGCTGGAAGTGAGGACCCCAATGTAAGAAGCTTTGGCATGTTTTCAGCAGCATCTGAGGAGAGGCTAAAATTGGCTATTCAGCTAGCCAGAAGGGACATAAAACGAAGATATCTTGAAGAGCAAGTGAAACAGCAGATGTTTGGAGATGCTATTGATAAACCATTCTTGCCCCAGAAGACACCACAGCAGAAGAAAGTAGTATTGGGAAGTCCAGAAATTAAAAATGCACCGAAGTCTCAAACTTGCTTGAAGAACAAACAGAAACTTGGTCAGCCTGGTCAGCCTTCCAAAGGGGAGACTACCAGCTCTGGTGCTAAGGTGTACCTCTACACACCAAATGAGGGAAAGTTAATACCAGCTGTTCTGGACTCCCCACCCACCCATGACACAGGACTGAATCTCAAGCCAAACGTAGACAAAAAAGAAGATAAACATATGCAGGAAGTCCGACGGCTGCAAAAAGAGTTGAGGAGCTACGTTCAGAAAATTGAAGAACTGACTAAAAAAGGTGTAAGACTGAACCATAATTGTTTTACATAAATGTGCAATAGTCTGATTTGGTTTTTTTTCTGTTTTTTGGCTTTGATTAGAAAAAGAAAAGAAATTCACAAATGATGCCATGGCAGTCACTCACTACCTCCCACAAGTAGACCCAGTGAGCAATGGCTACCTTCCCCCCACTTCTCCCCAAACTATTCTTTTTCATTGCTCAGCATGACACGGAACGTCCCTTTGATCAGCTGAGGTCGGCTGTCCCGCCTGGGTCCCCTTCCTGCTTCTTGCCCACCCCCAGCCTACACAGTGGCAGGGCATAGTTGAAAAAAGAGAAAGCCTTAATGCTGTGCAAATACTGCTGAGCAGTCGGCAGAGTGCTGCTGTTTTACCGACACTGGTGTAGTCATAAACCAGCACCATCCTGGCGACAGTGAAGAAAGCAAACTTCATCCCAGCCAGCCCCAGTATACGCTGCATCGGTGCTTTTTGTAATAGCTAGTCAAGTTCTAACTGTTCCTAACTTTGAGTGCTTTACCTGCAACCTGATCATAAAACTAAGGGGTCACATGATGTTGTAAGCTGTAACTAATAAGAATGTTTAGTCAAATTACAATAGAAACACGATGCAGCATTAAAATAGCTGGCTTTTCCCCTGCAAAATATGTGATACACCCATGTATTGGGTCTTCATGAAAGAGGCTTATTGCTAAACTAAGTTTTTTATCATGGCTTAATCAGGATTTTCACAGATTAATTTAAGACATAAAACTTTACATTTCATGCTTTTTAGGGAGAGAGAGAGAAATTTTAGACCCTGATAAAGAGCAGCAAGTTTGCACTAGGAGACAGAAACAAGCTTCACGGTCAGCTCGGATGCTCTATGTACTCCAGCAACAGGTAGGAAACAGCATTTTAAATTGGAATATATAGAAGCTAATTTATTTTGTTGACTTTGACAGAAATGAACTGAAACAAGATAAAATTGATTATCTCTGAACTTCCATGGCATTCTAGTTTAGATCTGAATGGTGTGATGAATTTCTCTTGTGACTGGATGGAAAGATGAGATGTTGGAAAATTTGGACTTTCATTCAAGAAGTTGCCTTGAAGATTATTTGGTCATTTATAGACATGGAGCTAATTCTGACTTTCCTCTCTCCCCCTCCTTTCATGATAAACAGGTAAAAGAAATTCAGGATGATTTAGAGAAACTGAGTTCTCATAAAATCAGACATACTAAAAAGGTAAGCTGTAATTATCCTCCGGGCTGCGAATAACTTATTGACAGAAGATTTTCTATCTAATTGAGCCTGATTGTCTAGGGTACACCTGAGCCCTCTCCAAACGGGAGTTTTTCTTTGTGTCTTACACCTTTCATCTCTTTCTCACAGAAGCGTGTCTCGCTTGGTCTGATACTGCCTTTGCTGCTTCTGTCTTCTCAGTTCTTATGTGTGTGCAGTATACTGGAAAGGAAGACTGTTGGTCTTCTGCTTTTATGTAGCTTGATTCCACTTCCTTTTCCGAATAACACTGTGTTCTACTCTCAGCCACTTCTGTGTCTTAGCATCCTCCTTTCTGACTTCTTCTCTGGCCATCGTCTTTCAAAAGGGTAGTAATGACATCATGCCTACTGTTTGGCCAGTATTGTCCTCTTGTGCTTTTCCATCACTTGTATTTTCTTTGCTAACAAAAACTGGAGAATGTTCTGTGTGTGCACAATTGTTGCATGTTAAGGTCAAGCTAATGGCTACAGCACTCTGTTGACTTAGGCTGTAGAAATATTGGAATATGTTATAACCAGATCATTTTATTTGAAGCTAACACAATGTTATGTAGAACCTTTAGTAGATTACTTAAATGACCTCATATCCATATACTTAGATGGCCTCATATCCATCAGAGTGTTTCTCTGTGAAATTTTGCCAACAATTCTTTGAATAATATCAGTATTCATAGAAGCAACAGCTATCAAAGCATTTATTTTTCACTTTTTCAGTCTCGAGCAATATCCAGATTAGGAGCAGCACACAGAGGAGCCATACGAGCCTTGCAGGCATTTGCCCATCAGTTCACAGATCAAACAGAGCAGCAGATTCCTACCCACTACAAGGAACTGGGCAGTCTCATTCGGCAACTGTCTCTCTGTTCTGCCAAGCTAGAAGTGGATTCTTCCATTTCCGACATTGTCGTAGATATTTTGCTGCAACTTGAGGTAGGAAAAAACATTTTCTTTTTCCTAAGTCAGAAAAGATATAGTGAAATATGAGACTGCAAACTATACTGTGTGTCCGTGAAATGGCAGATATCTTACTGTGTTTGTTTGTTTGTTTGTTTGTTTTAAAGGCCGTATTTTCTAATGTATAAGTTCTAGTGTATAAATGTGTTTCTAATGTTCCTGAATAATAGTGGTCTAAAAGAGTAGTGAATCTTAAACATGGAAGCTACCTGCTGCTGTTCTTGTTGATGCTGTTTCTGTCTATTGTCTCTCCTGGTAGAATGAGGACTGGTGATGTGATAGTGGTAACAAAGCAACAGTTTCTGATCCATTTGCCATTTTCATAGAATCATAGAATTGTCAGGGTTGCAAGGGACCTTAAAGATCATCTAGTTCCAACCCCTCTGCCATGGGCAGGGACACCTTCCACTAGACCGTGTTGCTCAGAGCCCTATCCAGCCTGGCCTTAAAAACTTCCAGGGATGGGGCTTCCACCACCTCTCTGGGCTGAACAATTACATTTTATACATTGGTTTAAGTTAGGTGTTGATTGTTTAGTGCTACATGCTTTAGTCATCAGGATTAGCGATGAACTTCTGCCCTGAACAGCTTATGAGAATAGCTGCAGTGCGAGCTGCCTGGGAGCAGGAAAGGAGGCAGAGTGAACTTTGGACTTGGCATTGGAAGAAGTGTCTGTCTTGCAGTCACGGGGGCTTTCTTTTCCTGTAGCCCTTGTGTCCATTTCTTTTTGAACATGCTGTAAGAAGATTATTTGCTAGAATCAATTTTAAATACAAAAAGGCAATCCTTTTCTGTAAGATTTAAGTTAATAATAATAAGAAGCTTCTACATGAACCAGCTATCAAGAGTAATAATCACTACCACGAAAACCAAAACCACAACAGAAAAGTTCTATCTACTTAGAATCTATTGAATTTGCTTTTTATTATTATATCAAGTTTACTGAGAGAGTAATTAAAATTCTAAATATTTCGTGCAGGATCTGGATTCACTGCTGGAAAAGAAGCAAACACCCCAAAAATTGAAGAAATGTATTTCAGCATCTCAGGGTAAATCTTCAGGGAGCACTGAGACATTTCCAGCCAGAAAGCAGCTTACGTCTCCAAAAGGAGAAAATAAACCTCTCGGCTTAAAGAGACAGCATAGACAAGAACGTAGAAAACCTCCAGCTGCCAGAAGTCTCTTGACTGGTTTGTATTTTGAGTTATTAAATACATTGTTATTGGTTAACTTACTGTCTCCAGTTCCATGTTACATGTTGTTGGTCGGAAGTATATAACAGCCCACATGTAGTTACCAGATTCAGATAGCCTTATTATGTGGTTTTTTCAGCTGTTCCCCTGAGATGACAGACCTGCAAGTCTTTCTAACTGTATTATCTATTCTTCCTATTTTTGTCCATTTCTTTTATTGTGGCCTACGCTTGGGCTGCCTTTATTTTTTTTTTTTGCAGTGTACATCTAAATGGCAGTTTACAAGTTGACATTAACGGTGCATACAGAATATTTCCAAATATCTACCTAGATAATACTGTATAAATATATTATTTTGGAATGCAAGGTAGCTGACTGCTAGCAAATCTCCAGTAAAGCTGTAATTGCTTCACTGTTTACGGTGAAAAGACATGGTGAAGCCTTGGCTTCAGAACTTCCTTGGTTCGTGCAGTTTCTTTACTTCTGAGAGCTCTGTTTTATTCTTGTCAGTCCTTTAATGTTAATGTCTTCTGCACAGTAATCACGTTTTCACTACCTAAAGACATGTTAACTGTCAGGCAAGCTGAAGACTTTGGGTTTTTTTGCTGTTAGTTCACCGTGCAACCACTGGGAATTGGTTTACTTTATTGTTCTTTTACGTCATATATGGAAGGAAATGGGCTTCATTCTTTATCTAGGTGTTGTGATATAAATTTACCACGTGGAGTATTTTGGTAGCTTATGAAAGTCATTATTGCTTTCATTATAGCTTATTACATTATTATATAACCTGTATTAACTGCTTTTCTTCTTTGGAAGAATTACGTTTATTACTAGAATAGTAATTTTATTACTAGAATGTTTATTACTAGAATGTTTATTACTAGAATGTTTATTACTAGTATTATTTTCTACCCCTAGGTAAGGGCGAGAAGAATTCTATGAGGTTCATCTTTGGCAGTCCAGAGAGATAATATATTGACAAGCATCTAATGGTTTCCACATGTCTTGCTGCTTAAAAAAGAATGTTTTATATTGCTGCCTAGACCTCATATTGGCAAATACTACCAAAAGGCTTTCCCACAATTTTCACAGATATCTGTATTTTCAGATATATATAGGTACATATAAATATGTATGTGCACACAAACCCCAAAATCTGGTCATTGAAACAATGGAAAAAAGACAATTTATTTAATACTTATAAGGAACTACAGATTTTTGTTTCTTTTGTTGTTGTTGTTTTAATTTTTTTTTTAATTATGGTAGAGCTTACAAGTTTATTATTAGGTATACCCAGCATAAAAGAAGTATCAAATGTAGAAATAAAGATGAATGATTTTTTTCCCTTTCAACTTAGAGTTGAAAGTTTATTTATTATTTTTGATACAGATAAACACTGACATGTTGCAAATATTTCAGCAGTTCAGAAAGCAAACAGTTGTGCTCATATATTGCAAAATAAATTCCAAGAAGAAAATGACCCACCTACTCCAGGGAGAAATGCCGCTTTACGAGGAAACGTAGATGCACTGGTGAGAGGCAGAGCTGTAAAAAAAGATCCCATCCTTGAAAGGAGCCCTTTGAAGAAGAGAGGCGTGTTATTACCTGCAAAATCGCAGGTATAGAAGTGATAAAAGAATTTATGCTTTCTTCTACTTGCCCTCTGGGATTTGTTATCTAATGTAACACACCATCAAGCTTTGCTCTTCCTCATGTGTTTTTTTTTTATTCAGAGATAGAAGGCATGGAGGGTAAACTATGCCACCTGCCTACATTATTTCTAGTGGTTAGGACTATTTTATCAAAGCTTTTTGAAAGTAGTGTTATTGTTCCTTGGAAATGCACTGTACAAGTAGAAAGAATGAATGGGAGAATTAGCAAGAGGAGCTTTCACCAAAGCTGGTTTAATGTTTGAAATTAGCATGGTTATTTTTCAACTTGAATTAAAACTGAAATATTTAAGGCCTAGGGATGTTTTGGGTTGGAAGTGCCCTTTAAAGCTCAGAGCACCATCCAACCTGACCTTGAACGTTTCCGGGGATGGGGCTTCTACCATCTCTCTGGGCAGTCCACATCACCTCAGCATAAAAAATTTCTTCTTAATATCTGGTCTAAATCTACTCGCTTTTGTTTTAAAATGATTACCCCTTGTCTATCACAACAGGCCTTGCTAAAAACATCATCTCCACCTTTCTTAAAGGTCCCCTTTAAGTATTGAAAAACTGCAATAAAGTCTCCCCAGAATACTGTGCTAATGCTAATGTTAGTAGAGGATATAAGCTAGGCAGATTTCTTTCATTGATTGCAGATTTTATAAAACACAGAGCCTAATTCTGAAAATTTCAAAGGAAGTTTTTACCCGTGAAGAGGAATGTTGGAAAAATTGGAGCTCTTTGCAAAGATAATAGTTGCAGAATTAAGCATATGTTCTCTGCAGTCACAGTTGTACTTCCCTTTATATCAGCTGTAAAACCTCCACATATGTCAACTGTGCAGCCAGCAGGCATAACTTCAAGAAAAATTCTGAAGCAGAATGCAAAATACTTTAAAAAAATTTGACAACTGCAATATATGTTTTTAATGTGATTTGTGTTAATTTTAAGGGAATGCTGAAATCTCTAAAATCAAAACGTGCACAGCCTCAAGGAAAGCATGCCCGATTTCAAGAGACAACTATAGCTTTCCAGCTAAAGGAGAACAAACGACTCATTAAGGATCGCAGAATACCCGACGTGCCTCCAAACCGTGCATCTCCACCTCTGGCACCTAAGCAGTACGTTCACAGCCTGGTGGAACCTGTCTTTGCCCTGCTTTCCTGTGGAAATGCCGCTGTGTTGGGACCAGTAAATAGGATGGATTTGGCCCAGCTGTGGCACAGCACAGCTCGCTAGCGGGTAGTTGTGTTCTTTCCCTGCTTGGCACAAAGTGGCCTCGCTTACGCAGCCTGGGACGAGCCACTGCTTTATGCTGTTCCCTGGGTCAGGTCTAAGTGTTGTCTGGGAGTCACAGGACAAAACAAGGCACTGACAAAGCACACAGTGTGCAGTCAATGGTCACAGTACTGCGTTAAGAAGGTAAATATTATCTCCCTATTCCAGAAGGACAAAATACATGTCTTTGTCCTAGCCAGTAATACAGCGCGGGTTTATTTAATTTGAAGTGTGTTCAGCATCCTGTAAACCAGGACTCCGCAAATTTGCTTTGCTCTGGGACTGCCGTTTGCAGCAGTGGAAGTGGGAGATCCAGCTGCTCATCCAGCTGCCAGAGCTGTGCTGGGCAGCGTGCATGGTCAGATAAGGAGCTCATCTCTCTGGGCACTATTTGTGCGTAGCCATGAAATTGTCGTTTTGCCAGTAGCAGAAACAGAATTGAAGATCCCTCATTCTCAACAGAATTTCCTGGCTTATATGGTCCTAAAGTCAGTATTAATTTTCTCTCTAAATTTTTTTGCAAGTTTTCTAAACTAGTATGATTTTTTTCTTCAGTCATTAGAATGTGCATTTTGTAACGCTCTGTGTTACTGTTTTATTTTTGAAGACTAGCATGACTTGAAGCAGAAACTTCAAGTGGAGGTTCTAACTGACCTCAGCAGATGAGAAATGAAAAAAACACAAAGGTTAAGATAATGACTCCCACCAGTCCCCCCAAAAGTACATTTATGTGGTAGTTTTTAAAATTATTGTCATATGGAGTTTCGTGATGGCATTGTCATTTGTTCTTTTTGTGTAGGTCACAAAGTGCTTCTCCAACCCAGTGTGCCGACAAAGTTGAGAAGACACTACAGGACTGCTTAGAACCTCTATTGGAAAGGATGCAGGTAGTACCTCCGAGCTCATGCCACTCTTTGAAGGATGCCTTTAGAGCTGTAAAACATTTATAAAACACACAGTTTATTTGCAACTTAATGAGAGCCATATTTATGTAGTCAACAGAGATTTGGATGTCTGGAGAGTGTATTTCCGTTTCAGCTTGTGCTGAAATTGTAATGAAGTTTGATGATGCTGCATTAGATTTTTTTTTTTGGTAGCTTCTTGTTAAGTAGATGCATTTTTACGTTGTTTTTTGAATGGTTACAACAGTTCCGTGCTGAATGTGACTGAACTTGATAAGATTATTCTAATAATTCGTGCAATACTATATTTAATGATTAAGTAAATTTGGACTAGTAATATTAATGGGTAATAATATGGAAAGCTTGATTATCATGAGATAATTTACATTTTATTTAGATGATGAATCTCTCCTTGGAAACAAACTGTCATTTGAAGGATTCTTCACATGTAAACGACCATTCAACTCATGCAGCTGAGAAGGTATATTGTATCTATATGTCATGGAGTAAAGCTGTTTGACGTTTAACATGAATTTTTATCTTTGCCGTATTGCAGAATGCATCTGGAAAAGTAGTGCTGATTTTTGAACTTGGCAATTTCAACTTACATAAGCCACATCTTTAAAACAGTGTCATTTTATGAGCATGCGTGCCTTCTAAAGTACTATTTTGTAATGGTGTACGATATGAAACAATGAGAAAGCTCTTTTTAACATCATCCCATTTGTGTATTTTTGCTTGGTGTGACTTTGAATGCCTAAAGTGGCTTGGAGGAAAAAACATTTTCATATAAAAAAATACAGGTAGATGAAAAGTGATGTTGTACCATGGCTAACTGATAAAAGTGGACACAGCTGAAACCTCTGCCTGTGGCCTGGGTCTAGCATATTTACTTGCTACCACCTGAGCTGCTGTAAGACTATTCCTGTTGAATGTTTGTAGTAAGTTGAGGGCCTTCATTTGAACTCCTCGGTGATACCTGAACCTGTGACAGCTTCACCTTTGCAATTTAGGAACGTAGTCGTGTAGCAAGCTTTCCCACGTTCATTGATTTTATTGATAGGAACGTAGTAAGCTGATTTTATTGATGTGGATTATTGTGTGAGTAGAAGGAAAACAGGGATTTATTTGGGTTTTCACTGAAGGGAAAAGCTGAAATGACAATTGGATTATTTCCATGCTGTAAGAAATGTTGATTTGTAAGCGTTCTTTCCCCCAGTTATTTTGGAGGATTTTTTCTTTCTATTTTGCATTGGCTCTGTGAGCTCTTATTTGTTTGTTGTTTTTTTTAAGTAGCAGCTTGAAGCAAATGCAGATATTCTGAGTGAAAAGCGATTGGATGATCTTTTGGAAGATTCTGCTCAGGAACTATATAATATGCAGCAGCACGAGAGGCTCCAGACCGAGGCGCTGCCTATGGCTGACACTCATAGTCTGGAGTCAATGTTGCAAAGAATGGAAGAAATCGAAGTAAGATTTTTCTCTCTTGGTTGGTATCAGTAATCCCAATTTCATTTTTACAGCCCATAAATTGTAATATCTGTAAGTAGCTACATTCTTAAATGAAGCAAGGTCTGACTGGATCAGTGTGTGAAATGGAAGATTTGGAAGGAGTTTGCGCTTTCAGCAAAACCTGGTGTTGTAGGAAGTGAATGTTTGCCCTAATGGTTTTATTGCTAGTTTTAGTGTTGGTAGACCTGAGCTTGCTTCACACCTCAAGACTTCATGGCTTAGATTATCGTATATGAGTGGGAGAATCAGAATGGCAATTACACTGACTATCCCACAGATTGGAGAGTATTTGAGTATTTATGAATGTATTCTTTCCCCCCATTTTTTGGTGAGATAGGATCCTAGTGTTCTAGTAGCATGTGCATCTCAAGGAAATACGCTCCAGCAATCCAAAACATTTTACAGGGCAACATGGGGAAATCACAAATGCATGGTTATCTGTGCCCTTATTTGTCCATCTTTCTATGCAAATATTCTTGAGGTTATAATTTACTTAACTTGAACTTTCTCATATATTGCTTTCTTAAAAATTTTTTGTCAATCAGTTTTTCCATAAATTTTTGATTCAAGTCCCATTTCAACCTTCCTGTTCAGTGAAATTTATTGAAATTTATTGTAACTGAGTTTAGACCCGTTTACTTCTAGAGGTCTGTTCATCAGGTGGAAGCTTGAAGCTTGCGGTGTGCGGTGTCCTCATCCTTGTGGGGCACTTACTACCCGAACCTTTGAATTTGCTGTGGGTAAGGCAGGAGCAGCGTGAGGGCCCTTCGGTTGCCTGGCTGACTGCTGTTGGTCTGAAGTGCGCAGAGCTGCCACGATACTGGCAACTAGTTGAGTCTTCAAGTCTGGCGTTCTGAACGGGCTGATTGTCTCTGACTGCATGTTCCTGCCCCTCTTCTGTGTTATGTTAATGCCCAAGGCAAAACAAGCCTACTTTGACCAGGGAGGATCACGGCCTGCCTTCCTACTGGGTGATAACCCGCACAGCTGAATTGCTAAGTAAGTGTCGATTGATTGATTTTGTGTGTTCAAACCCAGAGGTACCAGGAGGCTGTACGCAGGAGATTCACCCGGATTGTGTACAGTGATTCAGAGTTCTGCACCCAGGAAGACAAAACGGGTAAGTTTCTAATGCAAGTGTTTCTTCCTGTACTCTGTACCTTTAAATTCAGATGTTTCAAAATCAGAATCATTGGATTATGTGTGATTAAATAGCACCATCCAGACACATTTTTTACTCTAGATGCTGATTTCATTGTTTCTAAAATATAGCTCTAAAATCAGTATTTGGAAATATATAGCTCTAAAATCAGCTCTTGGAAATCCTATACTGAATTTATATTTTACAGACTTGTTACCATCAATACTTATTATATCATACCAATACTTTTAAGGACTTCCCCTTAAAATGAAGCAGAAGTATTTGTGAGGACTGAACCTCTCTTCCTAAGAAACAATTTTAAAAGTTATTTTCTTCCTTCTAGAACAGCAAATTTCATCAATAGCTAAAAGACCTACATCTCCTCATCCGATTCAGATAACAAAATCAGTTAGACACACAGAGCCAGAAACTGCCATTTTATTTGGAAAACTTTCTGATGGCAAGTAAGTAGAATACTCAGCATGTGTAGTGCGTATGAGCTGCATGTCATTATTGTGTTTTCATTACAGAAAATGTGGTTACTATATGGAGATTTTCTGATCCTTCAAAAAGATACTTAAAAATCTAGTTTCGGCTTAATGACTATTTTATATTTCCAGTGATATTGATGAAAACGAAGAAGCAGAGGAGAAACTGCAGAGTGGAATTGACATTCTGCAGCCCTTGACTCGGAATTCTCTACAGAAAGAGAGCTCTGTGTCTCTCTCTGTGCCAAAGCATATGCTCCAGAGCATCTTGGATTATAACAGCAGATACAGGCATCACTTAAAGCTCATTTCTCATGAGGCAGTAGGCAGTTTCAATCCATGGCAGATTGCTGAGAGGTATGTGAACTAACTTTGTGGGTTTTATGTGAATGTATCAGCTGATGAACAGGTTTTTCTCTCCTTATTCAGGAAAGGAGTAGGGAGGGGCCATTGAAATTCCAAATTGAAAGTCAGCAGTTGGCTACTGGACTGTTTCTCTGCTAGTACTTGGTGTTCATGGATTTTTAGGGTAGTTGGATAAAATGACAGGATATGTGAGCAGAATGTCCTGCAGAAGTTGTCATTTTGTCACATCGTTCTGTGGTTTTAGCACAAAAACAGCTGCTTGAAATATAGGGAAAACTTAACCTATTTTCCAAAGATTATCATTAACAGGTAAATTGAAGGAAAATAAAGTTAACATTTTTTCTGAGTTAGAGAATGAATAAAGCCATGTAAATAACTGTGTGAATTTTAATCTTTGTGGTGAGGGATTATTAAGTTGATGTTTCATGGAACAACAGCAGATACTGTTTAAAAAGAGATCACTGGCTTTAGCCCAGATCTCAGCGCTTTCTCTCCTGCAAGTCATAATGCTTCATGGAGTTCACTGGGGGAAGTGTGACATAGGTAGCTTACCACCCCTTAGTACAAGTAGAAGAGGCAAAGGAGCAGTAAGTAACAGTCTCTCTGCTGTTCACTTAGCAAAGAAAAATTATTTATGGTGCACGATGCCTTTCAAGCAAGCCGTGCTGCCAGCTGAAATACTCACCCATACACTGAAGCCTGAGTAGCTGTTTTGATTGCTCAGTAACAGGTACAGCAACTAAGTTTTATCACTGGTAGTAATTTCCTTGCACTTTTCTTGAGTGATTGCCTACAATTGCCTAGACGTCACTTTCAATATGTGTGATAGATTTCTGAAATCACCTGTTGGTCTTGTAAAGTCCCAGCCCAAATAAAAGCATGGAAATACGGGCTGCTAGTCCTGTTCTTTCAGAACTGAGGAAAGACTGGCACAGCATCAGCTGGCATAGAGGGCAGCTAATTCTCTGCAGAGAAGAAATCAAAAGACTTCTGGCTGTGGGAGAAGAAGAAATTAAAGTGGAGAACTCTGGAGTACTAAGGAAGAATTACAAAATCTAACTTCAGTGGTTGTAGATACACTGGTTTGCCATAATTATCCATAATGGCACACTGGACTTCACACTTAATTGCCAAGAGTTTTGAAACTTCTGCAAGCATTGAAATGAGCAATGTAGCTCAGTTTAGTAACGTCTGGCATCTGCATCAGTGTTTCCAGGAACAGGACCTGCAATATTTGAGATGACTTGCATATGTGAAGTTAATCTTGTATGTTGATGGTTTGCCCAGCTGTGGATAAGTATGAAAATGTTTTAATGACTGTGGTTAGACCACTGTGTTTGAATCCACTGAACTAAACCACCAAAATACGCCTTGTCAGTTCTCAGTGCTGTCATTCTGTGCTGTTCTCCTTTTTGTAACTGGTGTGAGGCTGGGTAGTTCAGGGACCGGCACTTTCAGGGGTGGGCGGTCAGTCTCTCCCCCTGACTGCTGGATTCTGCCATGTCTGGGTCCGGGTCCCATCACGGTGCTGCTCGGTCGCAGCCTGGGGTCGGCTCCTGCCAGGGGGGGCACCGGGCATCCTCTTACATGAAGTTGTGTCACACAATGTTTAAAAGAAACACTCCCGTGCTGGGCTCAAAAGGGCTTAGAAAGACTAACTCTACGGTATTTCAGAACATGTGCAAAACTGAAGAGAAGTTTTCAAGAGGGCACTAAATAGTTGTTTTACGCTAAAATAGTTTTCCCGTCTGTAACATCTGGTGTAGTCCAGCAGAGATCACTGAAAATTGAAATTGTTTGTCTTGCTTTTCCTTAAACTTTATTGCTCTCAGTAAGGCCTGACTCGGTGGCAGCTGAAATCAATAAGAAGCTTCCCGTTTACTTCAGTGGCCTTTGGATGAGCACCACAGTATGTTAACTCTTATTCCCAAAGTAGGATTAGTATCGAGGAGTTTGAAAAAAGGAAAGACCTGAGATCTCTCAACACTTTTAAGCCTGAACTATGTCCTTTGCCATGAACCAGAGCAAAGAAAGATTTTCTGATATCTTCTGCAACATGTGTCAGATCTTTTCTTGGGCTAAGCAGTAGAAAGAATGAAAAAAATACGAGTATTTCCCTTTTAAGTTTAGAGCACTGATTTCAATGGAATGAATTACTGAAGTTTGAGATCAGATTTTCTGAACCTTTTCCTTTTCTTCTTTTCCTTCTCTCTCCTTCAGTCTTGCAGAGCAACTAACAGAAGAAGCCCTGTGCGACGTGGCAGCAGAACTGCAGGATGTTTGTGAGGATTATGCAGAAGCTGTGTTCACATCAGAGTTTTTGCAGCCAGCTCAGTAAATGCTCTCAAATCTGTCCCATTATCAAATGCAACGTCAGATGCAGTCTGCTAGCCTTATCAGGTGACTTCATTTTTCATGGGTTTTAAAGTCTGTGAGATTCTATTCACCAAATGAATTATGTCCATTGAGGACTCAACTCAGGTTTTTATAAAACCGTTACCATAATGTTTTCCTTTTCAGACTTTATTATACTACATTTACCAGTATGTTTTTGGCCAGTTTTTCAATAGAATTATGTAAACTGTTACAGGTAAAGTTTATGTATTTTGATAGGAATACTGATCCAGTTGTCTACCTGTATTACTTCATTTTTTTTAATATATTTTGTCATGATCTTACTAGAATTAAAAACTGGGAAGAGGACTGACTTAGCTGTACTGGGTCTCAATTTTCTGTTAAAATGGAGAGAATCTGACTTACCTACCTCATAAGGGAGCTGTGGGTTTTAGTTTATTCTCAGTAAAATGCAGTTGTTATTCTGGAAAAATTAGCTACATCTTTTTGGAGCATAGCATATGATGGTTTTGAAAACACTTTGCAGACCTTGACTCTCACACAGATATTAATGCCTAAATTGTTGCATCTTGTATTTTCTGCTTAAGAACGAGACTGAATTGGTTCAGTCCAGACATTTTCCCCAGAGCCAGGACTGCCACCAGACCCATGAGTATGTATCCACAGCCTTTCGCTAGGATTGCTTTATTTGGTGGCTTAGTGGCACTGTAGCATCTTTGGGAAAGCAATCGTGTAGTCAGATCTTTTAAATGGGACTTTAAGGGAAAAAGCGGAGGCAGTGTGGCTCAAGGCCAAACTTTCTAGCCCGTAACACCATCGCCCATAGCTGGGGGAAGGTGAACTGCAGTTGGGTCGCTTGCAGCTGGCTCTGGGGTTGAGAATTGCCAAGAGTTGTGGCTACTCCACTGAAGCCTCCAACAAAACCACTTAACTTGCTCTGTTCTCAGGGGTATATGCCGTGGCTCCTTGCACGAACCGCTTGTCAACACCCAGAGCAAATAATGTAATTAGAACCGCCCAGTTGGTATTGGCACAGAGCAGCCTGTAAGTTGCTTTATGACTTGGTTGCATTGTGTCTGCTTGGCTCTAACTGTACGCTTCCTCGGGCAAAACTTTTATCATGCTTTACTTGGTGGTGTTCTCACATGTTGTAAATAAAACATAACCCCTCTCAGGCTCTTTGTCTGCCTCCGGCCACTTCCCAGGAGATGGGCTGCGACTGAAGATGCTTCTCTTCTCCCTCTAAGGTGCGATTTTCCCAGTTCTTGGGAGGTCAGGAGAAGCTGCCTTCTCCACTTGATGGTGTTAGAAGAACGCCGCTAGGGAGGCTCCTGCAGAGGGGAGCACAAGCCTTGCTCCGCAAGTCCCTCCTTCACCTCTCCCAGCCCACTGCGGCCCCTTGCCTGCGGTTGGCTTGAACGGCAGCGCGCTGCAGCGGTTCTGCCGCGGCGCCGACACCGCGGCTTGGCAACTGCCCCAGCATTTTCCCTGTTAAAATCCAG